TATACATAATAAAGTCCAGTCATTCTGCACAGCGGACTGTTGTTCTGGTAACAATTCACTGACGTAATGGATTCTGTTGTTAAGTATGATAATCCATGCTACAGCCTTTCTCATCTTTGTAGACCAGGACTGTCCCCCTACAGCCTCAGTATACTTCTCTTTATCTACTTTAAACATGTACATCACATATGGATGTGCTAACTTGACCTTTATCATCTCTATAATAGACAAAGCTTCCATGTATCTAAGTGTATTGTAATGATACATGGCCATGTACATCATGTCAGTAATACAACCAAACCTGGCTGCTAATTTCAGCATATAACAGGAGATTTTGTCAACTCTATAACTCAGTTTGTTTAAATGTGTGTAAGTTTCAATGTATAAAATTAGGGATGTCAACGAGTACCCGGTTAACCGGGTACTCGATCGAACGTCCGAGTATCGAATACTAAAATCGGTACTCGGTTACTCGGATGTATAATTTTGAATATTTCTAAATTGATTTATTAATGCATTAAACAATCTGTTTTAAAACGTAAAATGCTCATCGCACTTGTACATACAGTAATTAGGGTTTCCTATGACTCTAAATGACCGTTATCGCCTGTGGCAGTGTTTATACAGTAATTATCATGACCAAGCACCTTGGGTACCTGGCTCTTCTCACCTTCGGCTGTCTTTTTCCCTTATTTTTTAGTTTGGCTTTAATTATTTGTTTTCACTGAACGTCGTTTAAGATCCGTTATGTTTAAATAAATTAGATAATTTTGTCATTTCTCCGGGAAGCCGTAAATTCTCAGGAAAAGAGCGGATGATATAACACGTGCGATATTACATGTAAATGCCAGTTCAACTGGTTGAAGGCAAAGGCTTAAAAAAAAAAACTGATGTCCATCGTTGCACCAAACTACAAAATACCGTCCCGTAACATTATAAAGTCTAGGATCGAAAAAGTGTACGACAATCGTAAATCCGCTCTTTTAGGAGAACTTGATAAAGTTCAAGTTCATAGTTGATACTGACTACTGTACGTAGGTAAGACTGATACCTGGTCGTCAAACGCAACAAAGAGTTACATTACTATTACGTAGCAGATTATTTTTTTTAAAAACAAAAACACTGTGAACACCTTATAATTTTATTTCTTGTGTTTATTTGATAAATAAATTGAATATTAAGTATGTTATATTAAATTTCGTCGGGCACGAAGTGCTCATCATTATTACGAAAGAAATACATTTACGGATAGGTCTCCTATCAGTGCATCTGGTTTTATTTCTAGAAGAGTGTACCATGTTTTTTTAGTTTTCAATTTACTTGTTCATATTTATTTACACTTTTACCGAGTAACCGGGTACTCGATCGGAAAAACGTCCGAGTAACCGAGTATTAAAAATCAACCGATTTGACATCCCTATATAAAATAAATGCAGTTTGCTGAAGGACATCAGCTGTAAGTTTCTGTAGCATTAAGTTTTGATACTGTGTCAGGAGGGGTAAACCTTTCATCTGTTCTATTGTATGTAGATATTTCATACATCTTTGTATGTCCAGTTTCCGTATTGTGTCAACTCGTAGTATTTCATTAAATAGATTATGATCAAAATCAACCTCAGAAATCAGGGTATGTTCATCTGTACAGATGGAGAGTCGAGGTTCATGAAGAAAATTAATAATATAAGTCCTAAAGTCTGGACATTGTAGAAGGAATGCTAAACCCTTCTCATACAACCCATACAATCTAATAAATAGTTGTTGTTGTTTGTCGCCGTGAATTTTTCTAAGAAACATATTATTTTCTGGAATAAAAAAGTTAGGACAGACCCCATCATACACCCATTTGAGAATGAGTTTAAAACAGACCCAGAAACACTCCAGGAGATTTTGTGGACACCAGTGAGGCATTGTATTTTGTTGAATCACCCAGAAAACTGCGGTCTTCATGTGATAGGAACACAATAATTTAGTTTCATCACCTACTCTATTGTTTATCATTTCTGTTAAGAACAATTTCAGTAACCCATAAGTTAAAAATTGGCAGTGAGTCATTGAATACACTAGTTTTTGTTCTGCCAGAGAGAAGGAAATTCTCCATTCATGGTCTTCATGTCTTCCTAGCTTATGTCCGATTGCTACAAAGTGACATCCATTTTTTACTATACTATCAACAACATGAGGCTGGGGCCATGCGTGACATCTCTCTATCCATGAAGAGGCAGATGTAGGCCAAAAGTCACTAACGAAACATGGGGCACTATCAAATTCCAGTCTTCCAATTGATCCACTGGCACAGGGTCCATGTTGAATTGAATGATTTATTGAAGCAGAACAGATGATCTGTCTTTATTTAGAACTAGATATATATTGTCTGTTATACATTCTAACACAAGCTCTCTGAATATCTTTGTCCATGGTAGGTGACAGTAAATATAACAAAGTAAATCCTGGTGGATTATCGGAACAGTCACATAGGATCAGTGTTTGTCTGTGTGTGTTGTAATACTGAGACTGAGATAATTCCCAGATCACACGGTGATTATTTGGCCAGAACATAAAGTCTTTATCTGATCCTTTCAGTCTGAATCCTTCTCTGCGACTTCCACTAAACATTTTACTGCACTCATTACTTGTTTTCATTTGATTGTTCACCATCTCATTAATGTCCACCGCATCTCTCCCCATGACCACGATTTGTGAGGTGCCCATTTCACGACACAGCCCCACAAAGACTGCCTCTGATATGTGTTGTATAGCTGTCCTACAAACAAGAAATTAGGGGGGATTTAATATATATCTTGTGAAATATGACTATGTAGTCATAGTTATAGACATTTACAAGTTAATTGATGAATAACTTTTAAAAGTCAAATCTTAAAATCTAAGAAATATTTTTCTTGGGCCATTTGATTATTCTCCTCTTATCTTGAATAGGTGACGAAAAATTACATAAATTAAATTTAATTTTTGTGCCTTATTAACCTTATATACTAAATACAGTTGTCAAAAAAATGTACTGATTCAGAGAGTTTACTGGGCATGTTAAGGGCAATATATTTCTGTAATTAAAACTTACATTTCTAACGTTCTAATAGAGTCCATGGTTAGTTTTTCAGGAAAATCTTTAAAATTTGATGGAAGTACTTATAAATATTTTCAATGCTATAATGAGTCAAGAGAAAGCAACTACCACTGTTTTTATATATAGCATTATCTTTATGATCTAGCTATTATAAACATGGAAGAATCCTTAAATCCCAGGGGTTTTTAGGACGATAAAAATATATCATTACTTGGTTAACAAAACCTTGACTGAATTGTGCAGTCATGAAAACCATTTAAGAAGTACAGGTCTAACAGAGCTATAGTTCTGCAATTAGTACATGTATCTCACTATCAAAATTATTACAATTTAACCATTTGTTGCAAGATTTAGTAGATCAATAAAGATATCAGGCTGAAGGGGTCTTACTAAACAGAACCCTAGAAATCTCTAAGGAACCTTACAGAACCCTAATGATTGCTAATTACTGTGGAATCATCAATGTTCCTGGGGGACCAATATTCAAGAATTTAGTGGGTAGTCCCTAGGAACAACTTCTTTGCCAACATACCTTTTTTCTTTTGATTTTATTTTTATACAAAGTACTGTAACGTGCCCGATAATTGTTTCAAATAAAGACGCTGTTTCAAAATTTAAATGAGTTTATTGTGAGATTAAATTAATTCAATGAATAATAAAAGTACATCCCTGAAAAACTCTTGGTTGGTAAGTTGAATTATCCAATTTAATCAATACTCTAGCGCAGCTTACGTTTTTGTAATACGGGTTGTAATAAATAAAAGGGGGGGGTATATCGACTGGCACCCAACGTATAGGTATATAGATAAACTTTAATAATTGTAACTTTGTAAATAAGTGTTTGGTGTCTGTATAACTGTTGCCCAAACTTACATTCTGCTTCTACTGCTATTCCGCTAACTCTAATTCTCGCTATGATTCTGGATCTCTCTATCTGACTGCTCTCTCTATCTATCTATCTCCCAAAGTTACGATACGCCTCCTTATATACTCTTTTGTGTCACCAATGTAAATAATGACGTAGTGCGCAAGTTGACGTCACGGAGTTTGGTGACTTTTACCAAAACCCCATAACCGGAAGTTTCTAGTTACCAATGTTTACAAAGTGTATGGAGAAGTAATTTTAGGGGAAAATATGCATTTACATGGGATGCCAGCGATGTTTAACAACAAAATTAAATATGAAAAGAACCCAGTTATCGTATACAGGTATGATCTGTTTACAGAATTGAGATAGCGCTATTTTATTGAGGTTTTCATAATCACCAAATCACCAACACGTGCACAAATGCCGTCACCTATCATCACCAACGGTCACCAATCATCCTTGTTATAAGGTTAATTTATATTTAATACAATTTAATTAAGTATGTAATCTCCGAATTATCAGCAACATCAGCATACAAAATAAAACCAATAGCGCATACTCTGTAAACAGTATTTACAAGTGCTCCAAAGGGAAGTAATAAATAAAAAAAACGATAACTCAAGGCCTATACATTACACTATCCCCCTCCAACAAAATGTTCGCCCTCGAACATGATAAACGTTATACTTACCAACCAAGATAACAATTATATGATATATTTTACACACATACAATCATACATACAATATAATGAATGAATAAACAATGAGAGAATAACATGATGACAATTATGATATGAAAGTTAATGAACAGATGAATGTTTCAAAATCAATCAGTCTCTAGTTTTCCTGAAATATTTCACATTTTCACACATATATACTAAGATAAATATACTTACACACATATTTTAGAAACAACAGTGAAATGATTAACAATAGATAAATATAATAAATGCAAACATCATGGGCTAGAATCCAAGGAAAAAAATTTAGGTATACATGTAACTATATATATGTCTATAATTTATCTTATATTTAAGAAAGTTCACAATCACTCCAATGTGAAGGTCTGCCTGGCGGTAACCTGAGTTGAGGCATCACATTTCCTGGGTGTAGGAGGGCGAATGTTAGAATCATCCGTTTGGGTGGAAGCCTCCATGGTCATCCTGTAATATGGTCGGGGCAAATGGTACTGGTTAAGTAGTAGGTGCGCCCATCGGGGAATCGAATCTCCTCTCTCTTGGAGATATTGCACACAGATGCAGGGATCCAAGTAACTGACCGTCCCGCGGATCTCCGTGCCTCTCTGTTGGCTCTACTCAGCATGTTGTCTACATAGGTATTGTTAAGGCCACTCGGGGCACCGGCGAAGAAAAGTCTAGGATCATGGGAGAGATCAAGTGATGACTTCTTCAGATCTGAGCCCTGGCAAGTGTGCAAGATATAGTCGGATGCAGGAGGGCACGTTTCCACAGATGCCGAAGATGTTGGAGGCTCAGAGGGCACATCAGAGACAAGCACTGACTCCTTCAAGGGCGAAATCAAAGGAAACTCAGCTCCCAAGCTAGCAATAAAGGAGCTGGTCGGAGACATGGCTGTCGTAGGAGCCGCAGCAGGGTCCAGCACCAGTTCGTCAGGAAGGTTGAAACTCTCTGGTGGAACGCCAGTCTGAGTCGTGGTCGGCGCAATGGTGGCTGCAGCGTCACTCTTTCCTGGAAACACAGCTGACTCAGGATAAGGTTGGTGACTGACCGAAAGAAGCTGGCTAACAGGAGGAGGAATATCAACTGGTGGGAGCTGGCTCACAGCGACTGGTGGAAGCTGGCTCACTGCGACTGGTGGAAGCTGGCTCACAGCGACTGGTGGAAGCTGGCTCACTGCGACTGGTGGAAGCTGGCTCACAGCGACTGGTGGAAGCTGGTTCACTGCGACTGGTGGAAGCTGGCTCACAGCGACTAGTGGAAGCTTGCTCACTGGAGGAGGTTGACTCACTGGAGGACTGCACCTAACAACTTTCCTGGGGGGCTCAAAGGAAACATCAGGGTCATCCAGTCCGTAGAGGTTGACGAGAGGTGGACTTCCATGGAGGGAAATTGATACTGAGGGACTCCTCAAAGGTGAGATCTCTCTTATTTCAGCTTTATCTTTACTTGCTGGTTTCTCTGCTTTAGAGCTGTGGCTTTGGGTTGTGGATTTCTTTGGGGATGGATACTTCGATATTTTCCTTGTTTTGTAGGGAAAAGACGGACTGGAGGCATCCCGCTGTTCCTTTCTGGTGTGGATCTTGTAGCAGACTTTTTGGCCAGGATGGTGTTGCTGAAAGTGCTTTGTCATTAGATACTTCCTTGAACTTGGTAGCTCATAACTGCAGGAATTGCACCTTATAACATCTCCGTGAACATCCTGATAATGTCTCATCATCTGCTTCCTGGATGGATATGACTTATCACAAAGTCTGCAATCCCACCTACAATCAATGAAACTAACTATTGAATTTTTTTCAAGTGATATAAGATAAATTATAAGTGATTTTATAAATTAACTTCAGTCACAATAATTTTTCAGGATTCTGTGTTCTATATCTTTTTCATGTGTCTTGTTAAAATTTCAGATAACCCATCCGTTGGCTGCCAGTCTGGTGGGGACTCGAAAAAAAATAATATATTGGATCAGGTACAAGGCCGGGGACAGGATCAACATTTATTTATTGAAAAAGGTATAATTTAGACTAGCTGCATCTCGGTTTAAATTTTAGGCTGCTGATTTGTCTATCATACCTCAGTTCCTCTTCTCTTCTTATCTCCCTTTTCTCGAACCAAATAAAAAAATAGAAAAGTACCATAATTATCTCCTCACACCCTTCAATCTATCCTGCAGGTTGATCAGGCCCACTGGATAAATTAAATTTTACAACAGAGTGTCATGTGGCCTCATGCACTTTAATTCCCTGGAAAAAGTATATTATCAGACCCTTACAATCTGACCTATATCTCCACGTACTATCCAGTATAAAAAAATAACTAATGTAATAAAAACAGCATTCACTTTTATTTCTGCATACAAGAACTGAGTGTAATGACAGACACAGCTTACTGAGGTTTATACCATTTTATTGTTCTTCTACCATGGTATGGTAGAAGGCGGTCAATGTGATAAATTTTTGCCATTGAATTTTTGGATCTTTTAACGAGATAAGTCAAGTCATCAATTTTCTTGATAACCACATATGGCCCTTTCCATCTGAAAGATAATTTTTGAGAAACTCCCTTTTTCCTTGTAGTGTCATGGAGCCAAACAGCTTGTCCCTCTTTGTAAAGTTTTCTTTTTGATTTAACATCATACTGTTTCTTCTGGTATATGGCACTTTGTTTCAGCTTTTCCCTTCCAAGATTGTGTATTTGACAGAGTTTCTTTTTCAATTTTGTGATGTAATTTTCTTCATCTGAACACTTGCTACTTCCAGGTACAGGTTCCCTTATAACAGCTCTCATAGGAATGGTTATCTCCCTACCCAGCATCATGGCATTTGGTGTCTGTCCAGTACTAGACTGTACAGAGGCTCGGTAAGCCATAAGAACTTGGGGCAGAAATTGGTCCCATTGATCTTGGTTCTTATTACAAAATATAGACAGCATGTCACCTAAAGTTCGGTTAAATCTTTCTACATTTCCGTTTGACTGAGGGTGATAACTAGTTGTTCGAGTCTTGTCAATTTGCAGCAGATCGCACATTTCTTGAAAAACATTGGATTCAAAGTTCCGACCCTGATCTGAATGTAATTGTAATGGGGTGCCGAAACGACAAACAAAGGTATCAACAAAAGCCTTTGCTACAGTATTGGCTTCTTCATTGGGAAGAGCTACAGCTTCCGTCCATTTTGAAAAACAGTCAACCATAACTAGTATGTATTTATTTCCTTGTTTGGTTACAGGTAGGGGACCAAGAATATCCACAGCAACTCTCTCCATTGGTTCTCCTACATGATAAGATCCGAGTGGGGCATGGTTTTTCTTTGACGACTGTTTGCGGGCTGCGCAGTGGTCACAGGAATAGCAGTAATCTTGAACACTGTCTTTCATAGAAGGCCAGTAAAATCCTTGTTTTATTCTTTCTAATGTTTTCTCAGCACCAAGATGTCCCGCAGAGGGTATATCATGATAATGGTGAAGTACCTGTTTTTGTAGTGATTCTGGAACAACAAGTTGGTCTATAGAAGAGACACCATCATCATCTTCCCATCTACGATACAAAATACCTGAAATCACCTGTAACCTGTCCCAGTGACGCCACAAGGTCTTCAAAACTCCAGACTGGTTAGAAATAGATTTCCAGGGGGGTCTGTCACCATCTTCCTTGGCTATTAAAATTGGTCCTATATTACAATCCTCTAGTTGTTTTTGTCTAATAGTGTTTGGCTCCCAACCCTCTAATAGAAATTGAACCTCCCTTAAATCTGTATCTGGATAGTTTACTTTTGTTTGTCCCCTAGTGATAACTCTGACAGTGCCATCTGTTAATTCTTTGGGTAGTTTTTCAGGTTCTGGCTCCTTGTCCTGCCTGACGCAAACCTTGCAGGGGTTCCTTGACATGGCGTCAGCATTTGTATGTTTCCTACCTGGTCTGTGGGTGACTGTTAGATCATAGTTCTCAACTTCCTGCAACCACCTAGCCATTTGTCCTGTGGGATTCTTAAGATTCCTTACCCAGCTCACAGCAGAGTTGTCGGTGCGGATAAGTACTTTCTGGCCATACAAGTAAGAATGGAAATGTTTAAGGGCATTGACAACTGCTAGTAATTCCTTTCTGGTTATGCAATAGGATTGCTCATACTTATTCATAGTTTTACTCATGTAGGCAATGACATGTTCTCCATCGTCATGTAGTTGGGATAGAACAGCACCTGTTGCACGGTCAGAGGCATCAGTATCAAGAATAAATTTTTTTTCCAGGAATCGGGTAAGCTAATACAGGTGGAGTCATTAATGCTGTTTTAAGAGAGTCGAAAGCCTGTTGACAGTCATCTGTCCAAATAAATTTGGAATTTTTCTCGCAAAGCTTGTGTAATGGTCTAGCAGTGTTGGCAAATCCAGGTACAAATCTTCTATAATAGGAGCAAAGTCCTAAAAATGACCTAACATCTTTTGCTGTTTTTGGAACTGGCCAGTTTTTGATAACCTCTGTTTTGTCTGGATCAGTCTGGACCCCTTCCTCTGACACCACATGCCCTAAAAATTTAACAGATTTTTGAAAAAGATTGCATTTTGATGGTTTCAGTTTTAAGTTGGCATCTCTCAGCCTTTCAAAAATATTTTCCAGTCTTTGTAGGGCCTCAGCAAAGGTGGAACCTGGTACAATAATGTCATCCATGTACAGTAAACATTCTTCCCACTGCAACCCACGTAATACATCTTCCAAGAGGCGACTAAGAGTGCTTGGACTGTTGCATAGACCGAACGGCATGACCTTGAAATGAAATAGACCAAGGCTGGTGGAAAACGCAGTCTTCTCCTTGTGTTCCTCTGCCATACCGACTTGCCAAAAGCCAGAATTTAGATCCATAGAACTGAACCATTTTGAATTGGATAGGGAATCTAGACAATCATCCACTCGGGGTAAGGGATAGGCATCCTTAATTGTAATTTCGTTTAATTTTCTGTAGTCTACGCAAAAACGGGTTGAACCATCCTTTTTGGGAACAAGTACAATTGCACTGGACCAAGCACTCCTAGAAGGCTCAATGATGCCATTATCAAGCATTTTCTTTACTTCTTCCTGTTCAGTTTTCTTTTTACCTATTCGTAGTCTGCGGGGTTGTGTTCTAATTGGAGGGGCATTACCGGTTTCAATTCTGTGCACCACTCTATCTGTCCTGCCAATATCTTGATTGTTTTTAGAAAAGACACCTTCATATTTGAATAGCAGCTGCTTTAGCTGCTTGGTTTCTTCTGTCGTCAAATGAACGGAACTGCGCTTTAAAAGGTCTTGAAGATGTTCAGGAAAATCTGCTTTCTCCTCAGTGCCGACTACTCTAGCACACATATGCTGGTCACATTCAGAGGGATCTGTAATTAAAGAGCTACAACAACCAAGATGAGTATTTGGGTACAGTTTTATTTCATTTTCTGAAAAATTTACAACATTCACCATCTGATTATTTGATTTTGAATGAATTATTCCAGGAGTTAGAAGAACTCCTTTCTTTTCCATCAACTCGATTGATGGTTCAACTCATTTAAATTTTGAATTAAGCTTCTGATAAAAAAAAAAAAAAAAAAAAAAAAAAATTGTAACGTGCCCGATAATTGTTTCAAATAAAGACGCTGTTTCAAAATTTAAATGAGTTTATTGTGAGATTAAATTAATTCAATGAATAATAAAAGTACATCCCTGAAAAACTCTTGGTTGGTAAGTTGAATTATCCAATTTAATCAATACTCTAGCGCAGCTTACGTTTTTGTAATACGGGATATAAATAAAGGGGGGGTATATTGACTGGCACCCAACGTATAGGTATATAGATAACTTTAATAATTGTAACTTTGTAAATAAGTGTTTGGTGTCTGTATAACTGTTGCCCAAACTTACATTCTGCTTCTACTGCTATTCCGCTAACTCTAACTCTCGCTATGATTCTGGATCTCTCTATCTGACTGCTCTCTCTATCTCTCTGATATCTATCTAACTGCTCTCTCTATCTCTCTGACTCCAAAGTTACGATACGCCTGCTTATATACTCTTTTGTGTCACCAATGTAAATAATGACGTAGTGCGCAAGTTGACGTCACGGAGTTTGGTGACTTTTACGTCTCCACAACCCCCCAAAAATTGCCTATATGTAGCATTGACATCCACGAAATTAAATGATTCAATAGTATTGTCTTTATATTGTCTAGCCTTTGATACCAACATGTAGCATGGTAGATTATCTAGTTTTAGAGATTATTTATTTTCGCATATTTGCGATCATTTCAGTGTACAAAAAATAAGTCACACAGAAATAGTATCAGTTATTGTTTGTCATAAAGGCATAACAGTTTTTAATTTTTTTTTTAGCGCAAAATGAAAACTGTTCTCTCAAATCAATATAATTTACTGAGAAATCATATCAAAATATGTCATAAATGTGTCATTTCTTTTTATGACTTTTTTCAGTTTTGTGTTATAAATGAAGGAATATGAGAGAGAACGACGACTAATGGTGAGAGAGGAGCGAGTTAAAAATAAAATCGCCCGCGGTGAACTGTGACAGAGACACTCAAACTTTTATTGCTTAAAACTTTGTTAGTAATGTATATCATTAAAAATGTGTTTATCTGATAGAACTTTTTTGGTTTTGTATACTAATTGATTTCTGCGTATCTGTAAACCAGAGTGAGCCAGAGTTGGGAGATAGAATATTTCAAGGTGTTGAGAATTTTAATGATATTAAAGTCCTTTTTTCATCAGAATTTCAGTTGAAGAGCATTACAGGATTCAATAGGAAACAATGATAATATCAGAATTTAAGAAAATAAGATACTTATGACATCATTTATTATAAATTTAGTCTATTGTTTCATAGACATATCTTGATTTCTTTGACTTAACTGATACTGGTTGCTTAATAAGCTCATCAGCTTCTATTTCAAAGTATACTGAATGGAAAAGGAATATATATAATATAACATAATAAAATTTTGAATTAAATTAAAACTACAATTCGAATATGTTTTCTAGTATTGTCATCAAACATTTTAATTTATCTTTTATCAAAAAGTTACCAAAATCTTGTGAAACCTTGATTGATAATTCTAGAGTTATTTAAATTGACATATCAATAATACACAAACATTAAAAAAGAAGAAATCATAATCCCCCGTAAGCATGGGTAACAAACTTGATTTTTATGTACATTGAGTTTACCAGAGCTTTTATCTTACTCATAGGATTATTTTTCAACCCTTCCGATGATCTGATGATTCCGATAATGTAGTCTTTATGGTAACTTTAAACATATTTTATTGAATAACACAATAAGGATTGGGCAACAGGCAAGGCCTATGTACACACTCAAACTTTACAACAAGTCTTTATGGTTGGGAGTAGCTGTAAATTTTCAACAAAATTTAATACCCCCGCGCAATGAATCCCACGAATTTCGATTGAGGATAGAATTTACAGAATCCATCTGGTTTGGTACAGGTGAATGTTTGTAAAATGTTTGTAAGAAAGCCTTAACAAATACTGGCTAAATTTTCCCAGTAAAAATTCTAAAAACATTACGCATTACTCCGCGTGTGAGAGTAAAATCAACGTAAAGTTGCCAAGCTCGCGGATCAAATTAGAACAGTTTTTGTCAATTTTAATGTAAAAAGTATGAACTTGATTGTCTGTTGTATGAATATCGGATTCAGTGATAATGCATTGAGGATAACCAAGGTGGCATGATGAAAAGTCCTATCTTGATGTTACGTTGTTACACGCCAACATCACCGTCATGATTGGCTGGAAAACTTTTAAGTTACTTTCTTACAACCTAAAAAACTATTTTGGTTGAAAAGTGAAAAAACAAACTGCACAGCAACATGTTGATGCCTTTATATAAATTTACCTATGCAATTTAATTACTACACCCGAGCTAACTTCCGTCAACCATACGTACCATGTTTGCAAGAAATTTATACTGACTGCAAATATGCAAAAACGATGTCTCTGAACTCTAATGAATTGTTTGGCACTACAAGATCATCAACATGCGGTTGTTTTATAGCTTTTTATCACTTTCCCATACATGACGTGACGCCATACATTTCATGGTTGAATAGTTTTGACCAGCGATTTTTAGTGCAAAGTAACCAAAATACACATGTGAACAATTTTAAAAAGTCAAACATTTTCGCAAAATATGTTCTCATGCGTTTTTATGCACTAGGATCGATAGACTGGTGTCAACATTTACCTTCGCCATAAATTTTGAAGCATGAAAGATAAAGAATTCATATTTGATATGCATAGTTTAATTATTAAGCAGCTATGTGATTTTGGCGACAGCGCTAAATCACATCTACGCTAACTTGTTGAAAATTTAATTTCCGCCAAATATTGTACACGCCAAATGTAATACATTTACAGTATATGCTGAAAATAAAGTTTTTTTAACTTTCGACATAACTTTCCAATCATAGAAAAGAGAGACTTCCCATTTGGTATACATACTCTTCTAATTACGTTCTTTCAAATGACACTGAGGTCAATGACCTTGTGACCTTGCCTGTGACCTTTATGCTAAAAATAATATCTTTTTCGAACGTTGCTGCCACCGGGCACATAGTGTTTCACAAATTAAATCATATTTTTTTTATCCTTCTAGTAAATTTCTTCACCAGAAGGTACACTGAAACATCAATGAAAAAACAACCGTTTTTGTAATTTATGTTTATTGTTTTATCAGGTGAACGACTACACATATGATTTAAGAACCAGTGTATAATTTATTGATTTAAAGACACATTTCGTTTATATACCTGAGGGATTGAATTGACAAATTCCCTGTATTCTCATTTCTGTAGCTGTTTGTATTTTATGGAATGAGATTTGTCTGAGAGATTGTTGGTATGAGTATAGAGCAGCCTGGAGGTTCCCTGTCACCTGTTGACAGATCCCCAGAATCTGCCACGATATGTTTCTGTGAATTTCAGGTATAGACTGTCCCTGATCATTGTGAACTAGAGCTTGTAGATTATCTAGAGCTGTTTGTGCGCTCATTGTGTCTACATGTCTGTAGCACAAAATCTCTAGCATGTCTAACAGTATATAGGATGGGATACATAACGAAAAGAAACTATTCTGTAGAGCAGACTGTTGTTCTGGTATCAATTCATTGATGTAATGGATTTTGTTGTTAAGTATAATATCCCCAGCTACAGCCTGTCTCATCTTTGTAGACCAGGACTGTCCCCCTACAGCCTCAGTATACATCTCTGTATCTACATTATACCCATACATTACATAAGGCTGTGCTAAATTGACCTTGATCATCCCTATAATAGATAAAGCTTCTATGTATCTAAGTGTATTATAATAATACATGGCTATGTACATCATGTCAGTAATAAAACCAAACTTGGCTGCTATTTTCAGCATATAACAGGACATTTTGCCAACTCTATAACTCATTTTGTTTAAATGTGTGTAAGTTTCCATGTATAAAATAAATGCAGTTTGCTGAAGGACATTAGCTGTAAGTTCCTGTAGCTTCAGCACTTGATACTGCGTTACGAGGGGTGAACCTATCATCTGTTCTATTGTATGTAGATATTTCATACATCTTTGTATGTCCAGTTTCCGTATCATGTTATTGCGTTGCATTTCATGATATAGCTTTTGATCAAAATCAATCTCAGGAATCAGAGTATTTTCATCTGTACAGATGGAGAGTCTAGGGTTATGAAGGACATCGATATTATAAGTCCTAAAGGAGGGACATTGTAGCAGGAATGCTAAACCCTTTTCATACATCCCATACAATCTAATAAATAGTTGATGTTGTTTGTCGCCATGAATTTTACTCAGAAACATGTTATTTTCTGGAATGAAAAAGTTAGGACATACCCCATCATACACCCATTTGAGAATGAGTTTAAAACAGACCCAGAAACACACCAGGAGATTTTGTGGACACCAATGAGGTATTGTATTTTGTTGAATCACCCAGAAAACTGAAGTTTTCATGTGATAGGAACACAGTAATTTATCACCATCACCTACTCCATTGTTTATCATTTCTGTTAAGAACAATTTCAGTAAGCCATAAGTTAAAAATTGGCTGTGATTCATTGAATACACTAGTTTTTGTTCTGCCAGAGAGAAGGAAATTCTCCATTCATGGTCTTCGTGTCTTCCTAGCTTGTGTCCGATTGCTACAAAGTGACATCCATTTTTTAATATACCATCAACGACATAAGGTAAGGGCCATGAATGACATCTGTCTATCCATGAAGAGGCAGATGTAGGCCAAAAATCACTAACAAAGCATGCGGCTAAATCAAATTCATATGTTAAAATTGTTCCACTGGCACAGGGTCCATGTTGAATTGAATGATTCTTTGAAACATTACAGATGATCTGTCTGTATATAGAACTAGATATATAATTTCTGTTATACCTTCTTACACAAGCTCTCTGAATATCTTCGTCCATGGTAGGTGACAGTAAATATAACAAAGTGAATCCTGGTGGACTATCGGAATAGTCACAGAGGATCAGTGTTTGTCTGTGTGTGTTGTAATACTGAGACTGAGATAATTCCCAGATCACACGGTGATTATTTGGCCAGCACATAATGTCCCAATCTGATCCTTTCAGTCTGAATCCTTCTCTTTCACTTCCACTTACCATAGTACTGCCCTCTTCACTTGTGAAAATGTGATTGTTAACCATCTCATTGATGTCCATTACATCTCTCCTCATGGCCACAATTTTTGAGGTCCCCATTTTACGACACAGTCCCACAAAGACTGCCTCTGATATATTTTGTATGACTATCCTACAGGCAAGGATATATTAATTTAATATATATCTTGTGCAATATGATTTTTTTAGTCATAGTTATAGAGTTATAAAGTTAATTCATAAATAACTTTAAAAAGTTTAGTTTAAATCGAATCTTAAAATGTGAAGAATATATTACATGTATAATTTTATTGTTCTCAACTTATTTTAAATTTGCGACTAAAATGTTATTGGAGAAATTAAATTTCAAGATTTTATGCCTTAACCTTATATACTATATACATTTGTCAGCAAAATGCACTGATTCAGAGAGTTAACTAGGCATGTTAAGAGTACTAATATATTGCTAATTAAAACTTACATTTCTAACGTTCTAAAAGAGCCCATGTTAAGTTTTTCAGGAAAATCTTTAAAATTTGATAGAAGTACTTATAAAAAATTCCAATGCTATAATGAGTCAAGAGAAAGCAACTACCACTGTTTTTATATATAGCATTATCTTTATGATCTAGCTATTATATACAGGGAAAAATCCTTAAATCCCAAGGGCTTTTAAAGACGATAAAAATATATCATTACTTGGTTAACAAAAACTTGACTGAATTGTGCAGTCATGAAAACCAGTTCAGAAGTACAGGTCTAAGAGAGCTACAGGTCTGCAGCTAGTATACATGTATCTCAATATCAAAATTATTACAATTTAACCATTTGTTGTAAGATTTAGTAGATCAATAAAGATATCAGGCTGAAGGGGTCTTACTAAACAGAACCCTAGAAATCTCTAAGGAACCTTACAGAACCCTAATGATTGCTAATTACTGTGGAATCATCAATGTTCCTGGGGGACCAATATTCAAGAATGTTGTGGGTAGTCCCTAGGCCCCGGGTTCATGAAACAGACTTAGACTTAAGTCAAAATTTCAATTATCTATAAAATCTTTAAAACTTGTTAAAAAGAACTCATAATTTGCATACAACAGCAGACTGATGATACAAAATCGGAAGGCATTTTCATTTTGGGCTGCTTGACCTCTAAAAAAAATTCAGCATCTTAGGCATTTTTTGACTTAAGCTTAAGATGCTTCATGATCCCGGGTCCAGGAACAACTGCTTTGTCAACACACTTTTTTTCTTTTGATTTTATTTTTATACAAAGATACCATAGAAATTAAATAAAGGAGGCTTCCTGGCGCGTAAAAATATTTATTATAAAAAAAATAAACGGTATACTATGAAGTTTTATAGTATACCGTTTATTTATTTTGTTTTTATATATATATTTTACACGCCAGGAGCAAGTCCCTGTGCCTTACATGCATGATACGTTAATAAGTCTGTGTGACTAGTTTCGACATGTACAATCAATATGTACATAGGCGTAGTCACAGGCGTAGACACACTTTCAGATCTGGGGGGGCAAGGGTATGTCTGTGCCCCCCCCCCCACTTTTTAATGAAGAACAAAATCACAGCTATTTTTCCCCAACATTACCTCTACTATAGGAAATGTTCATAGAAGGGATAGTGCCCCCCACACCCTTTTAGACCATAAGAAAAAATAGGAATTGAAAGTAACTTGCCTTTGAAAAAGTTGGCCATACCCCCCCCCCCCCCCCCCCCACCACACGAAATAGTTTTTTTCGAGTTTGGGGAATATTTCATCTTTTTTTTTTTTTTTGCTTGTCAAAGAATTACTGGAGTTGAGCCCTCCCCCCCCCCCCACTTCTAAGTTTGTGACTACGCCTCTGATGTACTAAATGTACATGTATGTATAAGCAAAAATCTATGTATATGAGTTAATATAAAAGTTGAAATTATATATATATAGTATTTTTTAGTCTATCTATTACGGTAACGAGAGAGGATCGGTAATTTTTTAACCTAACTTGCCTAGATAGCCGAGCGGTCTAACGCGCTGTTCCTATACTGCTAGGAGACAGATTCCGTAGGTCGAGAGTTCAACCCCGGGCTGGGGCGGAAGTGAGTATCCTTTTAAAAGTGAATTTCTCTGTGCTTTCTATATTAATATTCCTTCACTTAGGGCAGTTATATTAGTTTAAGAGTTGTTGTAATTTGTGCTTTATAAATAAAATTAAATTCATCTCAATATGTTTTGGTTACAATCCTCTAAAAACTAATGTCCAAATAACTGTATCTCACTTCCATTCTCAATGACCGTGTAGTGTAGGGCAGCGTTGTGAGAATTCCATTGGCATCGAAAGCAAGTTTTTTAACTTGCTTAGCCGAGCGGTCTAACGCGCTGTTCCTATACTTCTAGGAGACAGATTCCGTAGGTCGAGAGTTCAACCCCGGGCTGGGGCGGAAGTGAGTATCCTTTTAAAAGTGAATTTCTCTGTGCTTTCTATATATATATATATATATATATATATATATATATATATATATATATATATATATATATATATATATATATATATATATATATATATCACAGTGGAAATTACATTTGGATTATAAAACTTATTCTTATTACATATTAAAGAATACAATGTTCTAATTAAAATTACGTACCCGATTAAAGGTAAATATTTCTAGGTGCCAGTCAGTCTGAACTTGACAGGCTCTAGGTCCTCCAAGTAACGCGTTCGAAAAAAAAATTAACACCGTTGTATTAGTATTTCATTTGAATAAATAATTTCTTTTTGTAAATTTTTGCTTAAGTGTAAGTAACAGTATCTTGTGCATATTAATACTGGACCTGCGAGCCTGCGAGTTTACGCTATATTAAAAAGCACTGGTATGTTATTTTATTAGTCCAAGATAAATTTCCTAGCAGATATACTACTTTCATATTCCAAACAGACATATTCTACTTTCCCAGTAGATATTTGTTAAATACCGTTAAACTTCGGCATCTAAAACACTGAAATATCGAAAATTATTAATATGTCGCTGTGATTTGAAGTCCCAACCACTAGATCTATATTAGCCTTTGAAATCTCAAATATTCCGATACTTTAAGTTTTTTTTAATATTAAGTTTTTTCGGTCCGACCAAGTTCGAAATAACGAGGGTTGACTGTACATTGTCTTTACTGTGGTAACTGACTGGCATCCTTCCAATATGATTAAAACTGATCTCTCTGATTGTTAGTTATATTGATCTCCATAATTTGAGTTATTATGACTAACATATATGGGTTGTATAGATCAAAGTTGTATCTGAGCTTTCTTCGGAGTTCTTAAACGAGTTTAAATATCACACTGAAGTTAAGATATTTTGACCCTGTCGAGTTGTTTGTCTTTCCCGTCTCTTGAGTTTTAGATCTAGATAACATAGGAGGGAAGAAGGGATTAAGGAGGACATAAGGAGTGTGGAGGGTGAGGGAATATAGAAGATGAAGTGACTAGGGAAAACGAGGAAGTGGAGATAAAAGATAGTGCAAAGAGTAGACAAGGTGGTGAAGTGAGTAAGGATACAAACGAGGAAGAGGAGAATAATGTGGGTACAGAGATTAGACAAGAAGGATATGGAAATAACGAACAGTATTCAATCTCAACGTCCATTAAACAATACAAAATAAGAGCAGAGCAAACACGGACCTCCGAAACATCAGAGGTGGGATCAGGTGGGAGTGACTGGGGATACAAATAAGACTGAAGACCAGAATACCGTCAATGAGGACAATAAATCTAGAACTGAGGACAAAACAGAAAGTGAAAATAAGAATAGTTTCTGAGGACAATGATGTACACATGCAAAAATGAAAGCGATGACAGAATGTAGAAATCAGAATAAAATCAATAATTGCAATGACGTAGACGATAATAAAAGAAATGAGGACACAAGAAAAGCAAAAAATCAGAAGATCAGAAGGGAATATTTGAGGAAACTCCGAAAGCAATATAGACAATAAAACAGAAGGTGTGTACACACTAATCACAGAAAACTGAAAATGAGAAAACAAATAAAACAGAAAGTGAGGACCAGAATAAAGCCGCAAAAGGACAAAAGTTGAGACAAAGAAGAAGGATATGATCTGTTTCTACAGTAGCATATTATCCCCTGGTTCTATGTATGTACTTCACTATGCAATCCTTTGTTCTACAATACTAAGCTTAGCAAAGACTTTAGTACCATTAGAGTTCAATCCTTCAGAAAAATCAACTTGCTATAGCTTATTAACAATTGCATTTTTATTTTTCATGTCATGAGTAACAGTTTTTGTATATCAAAATCTTCCTGCAATAATCAAAATGACTGTGGTTGGATTTTTTTTTCATTCATATTCTGATTTATATTTTCTATACAATATTCTCTCAACGTAGACCAACTTAAGTATTGTTGTCATCAGTCTATTTTTATTTCCTGTGAAAAATTATTTGTCATTGTTATGTTAACCTTGTCTTACATTATAGTCAATATCCATTCCACAAATCTTCATTATTTTATCTGTAACTATGTGTACACCATTATAATAATACATCTATTCTAATCTGATAGTAAGATGGAGTAGTTTTTTATGTTTGATGTATATCACTTGGTCACATTGCAATTGCATCAGAATGTCCAACAAAAATATTGATTTTGGGTAAATAGCATTTGATATTTCAAAAGTTCGAGTTTTTCTAAGACAACCCTTGTAAAACAAATTTTATTCTCTTTGCTAAATAACGACGTAAAATGACGTCATGTGATGACAAATCTTTAAATTGATCCTCGTTTGGTGTTAGGTGAAAGAGGGGGATACAAGTTTTATTTTAAAGTGGATATGTATGAAACAGCTGTGCTACCCCAGCGGTTGTATTATCAATATATTACTTATTCTAATACAACAGGCATTCTAATGCAATTGTTTTGTAAAACACTTTTAGATTGGCTTATGCACTGATGTTTGAATGAAGCAGTTAAACGAGAATTAAGGAGGCAGAAAGCAAATTTCTAAATTTCTATTTTAATGAGAGAATTCAGACACACGTAGAAAAATATATGAAGCACTATCCTGAAACCAAGTACCTATGGGCGTACTTGAATTCTTCACTCAATAAATCAAAAACAGTACTCAAGACTGACTAAGAATTAGTTTAATTATAATAAATGGTTCCGTCTAACTTAATCAACTTTCATCAAATTTTGAAGATTTCCTTGAAAAAAATAAACATGGACTCTATTAGAATATCACAAATGAAAGTTAAATTACAGCAAAGTATTTTTTGAAATATAATTTCTCTTAGCATGCCTAGCTAACTTTCTGAATCAGTACATTCTGTTTAAAAACTATATATATTTTTTATGTAAGGATAAAGCATATAATCTTGAATTTGATTACTCCAAAAATATTTTTTCCTCTTAAATTCAAAATAAGTTGAGAACAATCAACAATCAAATAAAGCATTCTTTATATTTTAAGATAAGATTTCTACTTTACTTTTTAAAGTAATTTATCAATAAACTGATCAATGACTATAACTACTAAAAGTTGTATTATACAAGATATATGTGAATTTCACCTTTAATCATTGCCAGTAAAACAGCCATATCAGAGTCAGTGTTTGTGGGACTGTGTCGTAAATTGGGGACCTCACAACTGGTGGCCATGAGAAGAAACGTTATGGACATCATTGATATGGTGGAAAATCAAATGAGAAGAAGTTATGAGAACAGTATGATGATAAGTGGAAGTTACTGAGAAGGATTCAGACTGAAAGGATCTGACGTGGACTTTATGGACTTGCCAAATAATCACCGTATGATCTGGGACTTATCTCAGTCTCAGTACTACAACACACACAGACAAACACTGTGTTATAATTAATAACACACATTATATATATAGTTCTAAATACAGACAGATCATGTGTTCTCAATCACCATCACACTTAACTCCACATGGACCCTGTACCAGTGGAACATTTGCTGAAATAGAATATGATTATGCCGACTGTTTTATTAGTGACTTTTGGCCTCCATCTGCCTCCTCATGGATAGACAGATGTCACTCGTGGCCCCAGCCTTTTGTTGTTGATGATATAGTAAAACATGGGTGTCACTTTGTAGCAATCGGACAAAAGCTAGGAAGAAATGAAGACCATGAATGGAGAATTTCTTTCTCTCTGACAGAACAGAAACTAGTGTATGCAATGGACCACTGTCAATTTTCAACTTACGGTTTACTTAAAATGTTTTTAACAGAAATAATTAACATTGGACTAAGTGGTGATGATAAATTATTGTGTTCTTATCACACAGTTTTCTGGGTGATTCTACAAAATACAATACCTCACTGGTGTCCAAAAACTCTACTGGAATGTTTCTGGGTCTGTTTTAAACTCATCCTCAAATGGGTGTATGAGGGGATCTGTCCTATCTTTTTTATTCCAGATAACAAAATGTTTCTGAGCAAAATTCATGGCGACAAACAACATCAACTATTCATGAGACTGTATGGATTGTATGAGAAGGGTTTAGCATTCCTGCTACACAGTCCCTCCATTAGGTCTTGTATTATAAATGTACTGCATAACCCCAGACTCTCCATCAGTACAGATGATCATACTCTGATTTCTGAGATTGATTTTGACGTAAGTCTATATAATGAAATACAACGCCTTGGTACATCATACAAATTGAATATACAAGGCTGTATTAGATATCTACATACAATAGAACAGATGATAAGTTCATCCCTCCTGACAAAGTATCAAGTCATTAAGCTACACAAAGCTACAGCTGATGTCCTCCAGAACACTGCTTTTATATTACACGTGGAAACTTTCACACATAAAAAGAAACTGAGGTATAGAGCTGACAGAATGTCCTATCACATGCTGAAATCAGCAGCCAAGTTTGGTTTTATTTCTGACAAGCTGTACATAGCCATGTATTATTACTAGGGATGTCAAATCGGTTCATTTTTAATACTCGGTTACTCGGACGTTTTTCTGATCGAGTACCCGGGTACTCGGTAAAAGTCTAAATAAATATGAACAAGTTAATTGATAACTGTCAAACATTGAAATAAAACCAATTGGTCTGATGGGAAGTTTACCTTAAATTATGACAACTTTGTGCCCGACGAAATTTAATCACATTTTTTTAAGTACAATTTATTTATCAGATAAATACGAGAAATAAAATCATAAATGGCTCACAGTGGTTTTGTTTAATAAAATTATCTGTTCCCTAATGGTAATGTAACTCTATTAATGCGTTTGACGTCCAAGTGATAAGTCGTCAGAGCTACATGTACAGTATTAACTTGATCAATTTCTAACAGAGCGGATTTACGATCTTCGTACACTTTTCGATCATTGATTTCATTAAAATTACAAGACGGCATGTTGTAGTTTGGTGCAATGATGATGGACATAAGATTTTTAAAACCTCTGCATTCAACCATTTACATTATTTGGCACGTTATCAAACGCATCCACATCAACAGTCGCACGTGCAATATCGTCTGTCTCTTTCCCCGAGAATTTACGGCTTCTGGAGAATTGACAAAATTATCTAATTTATTTCAACATATATAATAGACCTTAAACGATGTTCGATGAAAACAAATTATTAGAGCAAACTAAACGTAAGGGTAGAAGACAATCGAAGGTGAGAAAAGCCAGGTAGGTAGCAGGTGCTTGGTCATGGTAATTACTGTATAAACGCTGCCACAGGCGATAACGGTCATTTAGAGGCTCAGGAAACACTAATTACTGTATGTACAAATGCAATGAACATTTTACGTTTAAAACCGATATTTTAATGCATTAATAAATAAGCTTAGAAATATTTAAAAATATACATCCGAGTAACCGAGTACCGATTTTAGTATTCGATACTCGGACGTTCGATCGAGTACCCGGTTAACCGGGTACTCGTTGACATCCCTAATTATTACAATACACTTAGATACATGGAAGTATTGTCTATTATAGATTTGATCAAGGTCAAGTTAAAACAGCCATATATGATACATCGGTCAAACACAGATACAGACATGTATAGTGAAGCTGTAGGGGGACAGTCCTGGTCTACAAATATGAGACATGCTGTAGCCCGGATTATCATACTTGACAATAGAATCCTTTACATCTGTGAATTGATACCAGAACAACAGTCTGCTCTACAGAACGATATACCTTTATTATTTGTCCCATCCTTTGTACTGTTATACATGCTAGAAGTCTTGTGCTACAGACATGTAGACACAATGAGAGCAAAAACAGCTCTAGATGATCTACAGACACTAGTTTACTTTGATCAGGGACATATTATACCTTTACGTCTCAGAAACATATCTTGGCAGGTTCTGGGGATCTGTCAATAGATGACAGGGAACCTCCAGGCTGCTCAATACTCATATCAACAATCTCTCAGACAAGAATCAGTATCAACAGTCAGTATGATACGCATGGCTACAGAAATGCGAATACACGAAATCTGTCGACGAAATAAATAAATTAGTAAAATAAAGGTTAGGTGTTCGTTATAGCTTACCTGATAGTGTTTATAATCTTTATCATGATTTTCTTGTAAAAAGAGGTAATCAATGCAAAATGAAACAGATTTGAACTTTTAAAGCTATCAAGAAAAACAACAAACAAATAATTATTTTGATGTATGTTTCGTAGTAATATTGTGTTTTGTTGTTATTTTTTATTTGGAGGAAAAAGTTGTAAAATTAAAGAAGACAAATGTAACCTTTGGGCTTTGAGGAGTTATTTTATGAACACAGTTAAGTAAGTAAAATGACATCGGAGCCCTCCCCTCCACTAAAACGCGAATTCTTCTTATGTTAGAAAGAAGAGTCATATAAAACGATAAAGATTTGATAAATATTCTTGTTATCAAAATACAAAAAAAAAACCTGTATGCAAAATTAATTAAAGTCGCATTCATAGAAAATAGTTTTTTTTTTTCAGAACTAACTCAGCATTCAAAAACAAACTCTTCCAACATATATAACTATTGAAAAAAGTAAAAAGTATCACAATTTTGACCAGTAGTTGTTGCTATGGAAGCAAACCCTGAATCCCTCCTCGTTGTAAGGCTGGAAGATCTCTCTCCCTGGCGGAGCCTCTAATCTGATTCTTTCAGAAGTACCGATGTTTATTCCCATTCTAATGCAACGTATGCATTTTTTGTTGTATACTTTTTATTTTGTCAAGTTTTGTTACTTGATATATGCCACGGGACATTACGTTTTTGCGTCGCTCTATCATGACATTACAAATCATCCTGAATGTTATAAAGTGCAGGGGTTTGTAGAGGGAATTTTCTGGCCAGGCTTATATCTCCCTTATATTAGGTTCCTGTGACAGTAAAATGCACATTTGTCATCAGATATAGAGACTATATCTTGTCTTAGAAACTATATTTTTGACTTTGATTAAAGTGTTTTAGGGCAAGTACCCGTTATAATAACTGCCGAAACACTCTTTGCTATATTTCAATATACATTTATGAATGCTTATATTTCCAAGGGAATAGAATGTTGCAAAGTTTGGTTTAGAGTGTAGGGTCCTAATAAATTTCATGGACAAGTTTGGCTGATTGATGTCTTTATTTTCACACCGAGTTCCAAGAAGCTCTGTTGGAATTTAGCGAGACTACAGCGATATAGGTTAAATTTTATTCAAGGAAATGTGGCTAAAACGTGAAAACACGGTACACAGAAATGTTATGTTACGTTTCACATCACGACACCCTAGAATATTTGTAGAAATATACTTCAATCTCTCTTAAATTCATTCAGTCTTTAATATTAGTATCCTTATGACATTATTTTCTGTAGTCATGTATTAATTTTTTTTTTACAAACGTTCCTGCATGAGAATGAAATATATTTATTGGCGTCAGATTAGTAAATGAGGTACATGTACCAACATGGCTTTAATTGACAAATCAGCTGAATGTAAATGACAAATACATTGTTGGTCACAATGGATTTTACAGGAATTTTATGTTTCGAAAAAAAATAATAATTTAATGACGATCGGAAGGACACATAAAACATTTTATTCGATGTATTTTGTGTTGGAAAAAATCTGTATGTTTGTATTCTATTACTTTCATGCTCTCAATTTCAAACAATTCATTTTTTAAATAAACGCGGAATTGTAGCTTTCCTAAAACTGCACTGCAAGGAAATTTGTGTTGCTTTTCCTTTCTTGTACTAGCGATGAATACAATTGCCAGGTGGATTCCCTGGCCAAAACTTCTGATTTAAAAAAGAACCTTTGTTGTCCATATAAATGCCTAAGAGATGCTACCCGTTTTCCTGATCCTTGAAGCGCCAGTCTTCTAAACTTACCACATATTAAACTTTATTATACTTATTTTCTAGTAAACAACAAATTACAAATGCCTGTGACATCTTTCACAGTATTTAATTTTAGTATGTATTTTTCTCCAAAAGAACAGTATTTACAGTCTATTTAATGTCGATCATAGCTTTTAGGATAATTGTGATTACAAACTTCTCAATCGTCAACGTCCCTTAATTGTGCAGCAATATACCCTTATCACCTGCATATGGGTTTTCTATCTTTCAGTTGATTCGATATGCAAGAGCATGCTCCACGTATGAACAATTTCTAAAACAAGATAAGTTATTGATAAACAAGTTGATGAAACAAGAATGCCAGCTGTCTCATTTAGTGAACTTAAATAGTGACTGTCGTTTTTATACGTCAAATTGTCATACCATTTTTTATACACTGAATTGTCGACGGATTTTTCTGTTATTTCCCGATCATGACAGGGAGCACACGTCGGGTGCGACGAGTTAGCAGGGAATGCTCACTCCACCATGTCACCTGATCCAACTTCTGATGTTTTGGACGTCCGTCTTTGCCCTGCTCCTATTTTGTATTGTTTTTTGGACTTTGATATTTAATAATGTTCGTTATCTCCATATCCTTCAAAGTGCCAAACTTTCACTTATAACGATTATGGTCTTAAAGGGGTATTTTTATTTAAAAACAACTTCATTGAAATGACTTGAACTTTTGTGAATATTCTGAGAATTCAACGACAACGACATTCTGTATAACATCTGGTCAAATATCTATGTTTGTAAACAGAGCTCGATCTCTATTATTGTTAATGATTAAGTTTTACGGGTTCAATTTGTTTATTCCGCACACATCAATAAGCACGGAATTACAAGAGTCAGTTGATATAGTCAGCATTTGACTTATTGATAGATTATTTTTGCTGACAAAGTCATTTAATCGAACGAAGAACTTTGGAATGATGAATTTTTATGAGACTCCTGGTATTCTTGACAGGGTAACAGGACTGCTGTTCTAATTCAATATATGTCCTCAATAACACCAGGCTTTCCATCTCTACGGATGACGAAACTCTGATTTCTGAAACTATGTTTGATGTAAGCCTATTTGATGAAATACACTCGCAAGACACAATAATCACATTAAAGCTACAACGAAGTATGAGATGTCTACATACAATAGAACAGATGATAGGTTCACCCCTCCTGACACAGTATCAAGTCCTTCTGCTACAGAAACTTAGTGCTTCTGTCCTACAGCAAAGTGCTTTTATATTACACATGTCACAAAGCAATATTTATACACTTAACAACAGACTGAGGTACAAAGCTGACATTATCTCCTGTCACATGCTGAAATTAGCAGCCAAGTTTGGTTGTATTACTGACATACTGTACATAGCCATGTATTATTACAAGACTCTTAGATACATGAAAGCCATATGTGATGTATAGGACAAATGTAGATAGAGATTTGTATAGTGAGGCAGTAGGGAGTGGGTCCTGGTCTAAAAAGATGAGACAGGCTGTAGCAATGGATATTGGACTTTACAATAAAATCAGTTACATCAGTGAGTTGATGCTAGAACAACAGTCTTCTCT